TGACCCCTCTGAGGCAGGAGAGACCCCCTGCAATGTCTGAGGGATTGACCCCTCTGAGGCAGGAGAAATCCCGCAATGTCTGTGAGGGATTGACCCCTCTGAGGCAGGAGAGACCCCCTGCAATGTCTGTGAGAGATTGACCCCTCTGAGGCAAGAGAGACCCCGCAATGTCTGTGAGGGATTGACCCCTCTGTGGATGAGGGAAATACCCGCAACGTCTGAGGGATTAACCCCTCTGAGGCAGGAGAAACCCCCTGCAATGTCTGAGGGATTGACCCCTCTGAGGCAGGAGAGACCCCTGCAATGTCTGTGAGAGATTGACCCCTCTGAGGCAAGAGAGACCCCGCAATGTCTGTGAGGGATTGACCCCTCTGTGGATGAGGGAAATACCCGCAATGTCTGAGGGATTGGCCTCTCTATGGCTTGAAGGAGAGACCCAGCAATGTCTGAGAGATTTGCCTCTCTATGGCTTGAAGGAGAGACCCAGCAATGTCTGAGGCATATACCCCTCTACAGCTGAGGGAGAGACACCAATAACACCAACAGCCTAACCAGTGGTTTGAAACAACACCAAAATAATTGTATATGTTGTGGGTTTACTCTCCAACACACCGGTGTGCTGAACTAGTAACGAATTTGCATGTTTTGTTGACGTGACAAACACCTTACTAATTAGCTGTCGGGTCGCGGTGGTTTTAAGGACTCATTTACGCGATCTAACCAAAAAAACCTCTGATATTCGTCGCAAAAGCCTACGTGTTAAACTGACCAAAACAACGTGTACAATAAAGAACTTTAAAAACACATTCTTGGTTCTTTCGGTAAAGTCACGTAGAAGGGAAATAAAATAATAAAAATATAAAACAATAAAATTATCACGACGTTTCAACTGCAACACAATCATCATCAGGTGTGAAAACCACAAGAACGTCGTGAGTTTTATATTTTTTATTATTTTATTGTTTCCCTTCTACGTGACTTTACCGAAAGAACCAAGCATGTGAATCCCTGCAGTCACGAAGTAAATCACCTTTAAAAACGTATTTTTTTTTTAAACAACGGTTTTGCTTCGTTAAACTCACGGTCGAGAAGTCGCGAAGGACGTCAATGGCGCCTGAGACACGTGGCGCCCGCGTTTTGTGCGAGCCGAGTTTAGGGACCGCGGCGTTTTTGACCGACACACAAATATATATAAATAATAAGGCGTCGTCCATACAAAATGTTAATTGCTTTAAAGTGGCGAATTAATTGATTAATTGATTTTGATACAGGCATGCATTGTCACCGGATTTGATTGGACAACGGGAAGTGGATGAAATTTTGATTGCAAGATTTTACCACGACAAGTAGAGGAATCAAGTTAAGTAAAACTAATCTAGATTTGAAGTTAAGTAAAACCGTTGATAAAAAAAACCCTCCAGATATGGAGTTTTGTCTCACAGATGTGGTTATATTGAGCCTGAGAGAGGACCAGGATAGAGGGAACCAGGGAGCTCGCTCGTGGAGCGTTCCCTCTGTAGAGTACGGGTGAAGAGGCCGCTACCTCTTCAAGTATCAGATTCGCCACTGTAATTGAAGCGTCTGTAATAAATACGTGTTGCCTCAAGTGAACAGTCTCCGACGTCAATAAGGCCACTGCAATGGTACGGAGACGTGCAGACCGCGTGGTGCGGCATTGGTGGTCAAGTACAGATTTAACACAAATAAATGAAGCCCGGTCATCGTTAACGCTTTTAGAAATAGGCGTGTATCGACCCCAACCCGGAAAATTTTGCTGTTTTTTTTCCTGGATTTTCCGTTTACACAAAGTCACATAGTCACTTTAAGATGTTTTCTTGTTCATGTTTTTTGTTTGTTGCGGTTGCACCCGATTCAAGAGCCGAATGGCTCACAGGGCTATACCAAATAAATGAAACTGAAACTGATCAGCAGCAGCCCACACAAGATCCACCAACAATACTCACCGTACACTGAAAAACACTCACCAACAACCACTGACCCAACAATAAACGGTACCACTCTAGTACAACTCACCAGCGGCACCACTCACATTGCAATACTTGGAAAACCACCTACAGGCAACCAAACTACCCGCATTACAGTAAAAAAACCTACAATGTTGCATCTATATAATGACTGGGTATCACTTAACAATGCTTCCAGTCAGTGTTAACTTTGTTAACAAAATTAGTGATGATAGTATTTGTCAACAGTGTCGTGTTTTTTTTGTTTTGGTCAAATATGACAATGAGTGTGATGAAAATTAATCGTGAGGATGACCACAACCACTTAAGGTGATGAAAATTAATCGTGAGGATGACCACAACCACTTAAGCCATCAACGATCAAAGTGCAAGCGGCTATGAACAATTTAAATGAACTGGATGGAACAAAAATGCAGATTAAGATACTTTAGCAACGTTATTAAGGACTTGCCAACCCACACTCACCATGCAGCCTGGTGAGTGGTGAAGTATGGTAAAACTAACCCTGGATTGGCATGGTTGGCTATGTAGGGTGCGCGAAAGAGGTTCAACTTACGGGAAATACAAAGGGCTGCACCCTGGGGAAGATTAGAGAGGTCAACTTTTGCGAATGAGTAAACTTTGTGTGATTAGCCCGTGAATTGTTTATCCTGTTGTTATTTTTGAGTGGGATTTTTCCTGGCTGCTGCCAATGGATTGTCATCACCCAGACAGGCACGGCCCTCATGACCCCACTGCCTCCTCACATTCACAGCCACCACACAATAATTCTACCAAATTTGGCATTTAAAAAAATCCCTAAAACGCATCATTGTATGACTACAAGGTAGGGCTCTCCTTCCTGAACGTTTTAACTAGTAATGGGCATTCCTTCCTGAGACGGATTAGCCAGCTCTTAACCAAAATATGCATATGGGTCAGTTGTCTGCAGTCATGGCTGCCTTGTCTGTGAAACCATGAGTCAGTCTCACGAATAATGCAACAAAAATGTTGTATTTATGACCTACTCGTGACTTATTATCAGAAATTAAAATTCCATATATTTACATGACGTAAATTCATGTAATGTTAAAAAGGGACTGTGTTGGCAACGGTGTCGGAAGTGGCGATGATAAAACGGCGGCAAAGTATTGTATATAGTCAAATAGAAAAATATAGTAACATGTTTGTATCAAGATCAACCGATCATATCGCCTGTGATGCCACCAGCAAACATGCAGCAAACGCCACCAATCACGACGGCTGCGCGGGCATCACATTCATTTTAGGAATATTCATCTTAATCCTGCGTTCAGTCTTAACTACCCAAATCATACTACAATAAAACATAATAATAATCTATGCTTCGAGTTTCTTGGCTTGCTGCTAGTCCGGCTCCTTTCCACCCCAACAATAACTCTGTTGTTAGTGGCTGATGCCGGCCGTCGCCACCGAAGCTAGCTGGGTAACTGGCTAAACGGGATTAAACGTTGGATTGAATTGAACCGCCGGAAGTTCAGAAAACGTATGATCGATAACAACTCCGAAGACTGACATGGTTCATTTGAAATTGTTCTAACTTTTAAATGTGTTCTCCATATAACTATTTCACCATAATATTGTCCAGCATTCTTTAAATCCTGGAGGATATTAAAAAACCTTCATCATACATATCTTGGCATTTCATTACATTATATATATTTAAAAAATCAGGTTACTTTAGTTGTCCGAGTACGGAAGGATTGTGAGAAGAGTGTGTATGAAATGTATACCATATGTTCCGTTGCAGAGCAACGGGTTTTCTACGTGTGATATAAAAACAAACTACAGAAGCCTAGCAAATATGCTAGCCACAAAACCTGCATGTATCTGCATTATACCGCAAATATCTAAACGCGTAAGGGGGGGTGCCATTTTTCGAGGAAGTCAAGTGAAAACAGATCTTGGACAAATGTTATGCTTATATTATATTTCGCTATGTTGGGCGAGGTGTGGTAGTTGCCATCAACTGCCCTGGCCATGATGGTATCTACAGCTTTATCTTAGCTTAACATATAAGGGAACTATTAAATGCATTAACCGATGTTCAGTGCTGTATAGAACGTAACATCCACTGCAGGTCGGCATGACTTTGACATTCCTCTTGGTAGACACCGGTGGAACGATCAACCACATCTGAACATCAACAGGCCAATAGGCAGATTTCCTGTATAAATGCAACATTACAGACAAGCCACAGTAGTGCGATTGTGGCCATATAGTAAACAACTGTAAAAGTGTGCATCCCTATCATGTGTGAGTAGCAAAACTACACACACTCTCTTCTTGGTTCTTTCGGTAAAGTCACGTAGAATGGAAATAAATAATAAAAATAAAACATAATAAAATTCTCACGACGTTTCGGCCACAACACAAGTAGCCTTCTTCAGGTGAAGAAACAGGACTGTCCAGAAGACAGCGCTTGAGTGAACACTGCCAAGCATGGACCGCGTCTTTTAAGCTGTGTCGGCAGAATTAACATATGAATTAGCATGTTACCCAGCCTCACCTCCGGAGCGGAGGAGGGTGGCGGCTGGGCACACAGAAAAATAAAAAAGCAGAACAGCCAAGGTGCGCTGCTCTGTCCTGTGTTGCATTATAACTATGCTATAAACTAGACTAATATATAATACAATATTATACCTTCCAATCTAAACTACATGGTATAATATCATATCCATAGACAAATTCCACCTTTGAATTATACAATGCGTTACTATACACTACCCTATACTTTAGACTATAAAATATTAGACTTGTAACATTACACTGTCTTATTCTATAAACCCTACTATATACCACACTGCTGTATATTCACTATGCAATTACGATACTATATATTGCCTTATGAATTATGTTAAACTGTTATACTATTTATTATTATACCACATGCTATAAACCATACCATTGACCGTGGTGTGAAAGGTATTATTTGTTATTTATTTTCATTCTACATGGTGACTTTACCGAAAGAACCAAGAAGATGAATCCCTGCAGTCACGAAAGCTTTAAATCGAAATTTACACACACTCTACCCTGAAGCCCTCTCGTCGTGGCTGGCAGACTCCGAAATTGGCATTTAGCTCCTCGACATATTGCCCCGTGCAAGAATAAGTAATATTTTTAAAACATTTTTTTAAAGACGCTTTAATGAAATGTACCGTACGAGTAATGGAAGAACTTCACGACTCCAGGAAGTGGCCACGAAGTTTGCCACAACGAAAGGGGACCGTGTTTCAATTACAGCCAACGTCGGTTTCCCGTGGACAATTAGACACAAGCCGAAACATAACATATCAATTTTTTAAAAAAATATGTTTATTTTTTGATAGAATTTGGTATTGTCAGCAGTATGACATAAGTATACCCAGTTTGCAGTCGATACCACATTGGGAAGTGGGTAAAAATTGAGTTACAAGATTTGAGGATACAACAACGACGACAAGAAGAACAACAACAACAGACAGTGAGTTAAATAAAAGCGTGTAAAAAAATGGTGCCATTCATTCATCCCCATCCTATGAAGAGGCGTCAAGAGGTACAGTTCAGCACCTCCGATCAGTACGGTTGGTTACGTACGGTGCGAAAGAAGTTCATCAATAATTTAATCAGCCATAACAGTCCCGCTGATTATTAAATTTTGCAATGTGTTCGAAGTCTCGTAATAAACACTTTTTTTAAAAGTATACACACTAAGGCCGATGGAAAGCGGGCGAAAGCTCGCGACTGGCGGTCACCCCCCCCCCCATGCCCAGTGTCTGGTACGCCCCATGTCGACACCGAGGAGGCGAGCGGTGGCGCTGTGGTGCGCGCGCTCTCTGATTATTGATCCCGGCCGATGCTGAGTTCAATTCATTGCTCGAGTTCAATTGATTCTGGGGGCCTCCCTCAGAATCAATTGAACCCGGCCGGGGGCCTCCCCCCAATTGATTCTGGGAGCCTCCCAGGGATACAGTATATAAGTAATAGTTACATAATGTATATGTACAACTGAATGCAGGAGGCTACAGCACTTCCTGCAGGAGAAAGTGTGAAGATGGCAATGCCATTCTGCATAAATGTTGTGTTAATTATAATATTTATGTACCGATACATATACTCGATACATCGCTGCATACTCGATGTGCATCATGCAAAGGTTATAAATATATCCAGTATCCATAGAGGCATCATCCGTCATTAAAAAAAAATTCGTAATAAATCAGCCTCTGCCAGAAGTGGCATGATAAAATTAACTGAGCAATTTCATGGGACAGCAATTTGAACTGCTTGTTTTAAATGCTTCCAACATATTCCTTCAATTAAAAATCCGTAAATGTCGAGAACATTTGCCGTAACAGAAAATAAAAGTGTTGGCTGGAGAAGCACGCGCGGATTCCACAACACGTGCATCGCACGTACCGCACAAAAGTTACGTGCACGAGGCAAAAAAACCCCACTAATTCCGGAAGAACTACACATTATAGTAATCTTTTCTCGAGTCGCCATGAACACATTGAGCATCTGTGACCAACAGGACAGGCAGCAGTGAGACAGAGGCAGTTATAGACTGGCGTGCCTTATTTAGGACGTATCACTTTAGTAGTCACCAATGCTCGCTGCTGCCAAGTCTGTCTTCAGGGAACAAAACCGGGAACATATTTCTGATATACTTGAAGGGGTTGTTATATTTTTTTAAACCAAAAATCTAGAGTGACTTTCAACAGCGCATAGCAGAAGCATTTGTAACCATCACCGCCGAGATGTTGGAGAACACACAACAGGGGGACGATCCGTGCATGTGGCCATGGTGCCGTGAACGAACTTTTGAACGCATTGCGGTAAATTTTGGCAAATCCCATTTATGGAATTGTTTGTTTTCTTCCACGGAGGGGGCGGTGGTGGTGGTGGTGGTGTGTGCGGGTTTCGGAGAAAGTCCGACGTATAACAACGGCGAATAATTTACTCAAAAGTTCCGCGCAACGAGGATCCCGCGTGTAGTCATCGCTTGGTCACATGGCGGAGAGGGCGTTGGCGTCAGTCTTAGGAATCTCTGCGCGAACCACCGCAAAAAAAAGCATCGCTCCGAACGGAATGAACGGGAGACGAACGTCTAGCTCGGGGAAAAAAATGTTCAGCAGAACGCGTGCGTCAAGTTACATACACAGAGGTGGGAGACATGTACATACACAGAGGTGGGCGTCATGTACATACACAGAGGTGGGAGACATCAACTCGCTGCCAGCCACCCCTCCCTCTGGGGGGTGCAAACACCACGCGTTACATCTCAGCTGGGCTGGGTGTCTCTTCAATAGGCGCGTCACAAAGCCTCTGCCCACACATTTCCTGTGCGCATTGTGGACATTGACACTTCATTCCTTAAATAACCCATTTGGAAGAAGAAGAGCAAAAAAATGCAGACATTATTCAAACATCCGGAAAAAGAGGTTGTGAGACGCGCATTCGCCGTATTGTGTTGGTGTGTGTGCCTGATCCAACACACGCCCCTTTGGCAAGGACCCTTCATATAAGCCAGTCCCGCGTGTCCCGTCTCATTCCGACCGACACACTAACCCAGCACCAGCGTGGGTCACTCTTTCCTCCATCCAACATCACCATCCAACATCAGTACAGCAATCGAGGGTCACTCTTTCCTCCATCCAACATCACCATCCAACATCATCACAGCAATCGAGGGTCACTCTTTCCTCCATCCAACACCCCATCCAACATCACCATCCACCCAACATCAGCACAGCAATCGATATCGGCAGACGCATCAGCAGGCCGAACACGTGTTTATAAAGTGCAGCGCCTCCGCGCTCTGTAAACACTTCACTCGGAGCGCGCTAATTGCGGCACGCATCGAAGGGGGAAGGACGAGGACTGTGCATCAGCTATTTATTATTTCTAAAATTAACCTTTTCTTTCCCCCCCCCCACTACCGAATTCATTCCAGCGACCTCGTTCTCACTCCAGCCGATAACAAGCAATAAGATGATGATGATGAAAATGTTGACGATAACGACGGTGACGGTGATGACGATTCTACTACAACTGCAGTTGACTCACGCGACCCGAGTGTCGTCGCCCTACCCCGGCAAGGACTCACAGCAACAACACGGACAGCAGCAAGAAGAAGAGCAGCAGCAAGTGCAGAACCAGCAGTTAGAGCCCTTCGAGTGGAAGGGCTACGCCGTGGACTGCCCGGGCTGCGAGGCCTTCTCGTGCCCCGCGCTGCCCGCGCGCCGCTGGTGTCGCCGCGCGGTGCCCGACGACTGCGGCTGCTGTTCGGTGTGCGCCGCGGGCCGCGGGGAGCGCTGCTACCCGGCCGTGGTGGGGCTCAACTGGCTCAAGTGCGCCAAGGGGCTGCGATGCCGCCCGGCGGGCGAGGACGAGTTCGGCGACACGTACGGCCTCTGCGAGGGTGAGCTCCGCGTGCGTGCGTTGTGGTGGCGGTGGTGCTGAGCTTCTTGACATCGTGAGTCGTGGCTTTGCGTTTCCGCTCACGGGGGGGAAAATAAATAAACCGATGCCTTGGGGAAGTTCCCCGAGGTCGACCCGGCCTCAAATGATGAGTGCCCGGTGCGTAAAAAACATCGCCACTGGGGAGACAAAGGCGGCCGGGCGTGGTTGCTGGCCACCCACCCCCTCGTGTGCCGTACCGGCCTTCGTAGGTGCTCATAAGAAACGTTTATGGGTGAGATCGCGTAAATATACATGTGTCGTTAACCTACCACCACCACACCCCCCCACCATTCACAGCCAATTAGTAAGATTTGTCACGGAAACAAAACGTGTCAATTAGCGCAAATAGTCTGTCTTGCCCAAACAGTCTTCGGTCACGTCACCGCCACTTAGTGGATCATGGCGGTCGATGTTGTTGTTGTTGTAGCATGCCTGGTAAATACTGTATGAAGTTCCTCACGCTGTTCTGATGCGTGGCGTTACACCGATGGCATCAAGTTTCAGCGAAGGCGCGCCACGGCAGGGAGCTTCAGTGGAGAGGACACGCCGACGAGTGCTCAATTTATGATGCTGCAGGATATAATAATCCACCGAAAAGTCCTTACGATGATTTGCTTTAGCCACGTGTAAAGTGATCTCACATGCCCTGGCACTAAAGGTACTGTATCGAAAACAACGATTTTTTTTCTCTTCATATAACGCCTGGCTATACTTGAGAACTGTTTACCAATGGATTTCAGCCTTCCTGGGATGACGATCGCATGTGTAGTATGATGAACTTACATTCAGGTCGGCCTTCTGCTGGAGCAGCGGTTCTCAACTTGTGTACCCACTGGCCATGACAAGTGGACGTGTGGCAGATTGTACTCTTGATTCAGAGTGGTTTCAATTTTGAAAATTTGACAACAAAAATTGGATTGGTTCAGGTCTGCAAAAATTCGAATGTATTTTTTTAGGTGGTGGCAGTGGACCTCTGTGACTTCCTTAACAATCACGGGTCCAAAACATTTGGGAACCAGTGCACTAGACGATGTGAGGGCCAAATGGCATGCATTTCTCAGGCTGAAAAAGCAGCATTTACTATGTGAAGGAGCTGTAACCGAGGGGGGTAGATCAATAGGAAGTGGAGTGAAACGCACAAAGAATTTGGGTTCGAGCCCTTGCCTCAGGTTGCAGAGTTTTTCAAGTTACAATAACATAGTATTTAATAGCCATTGGCATGCAGAGTAGTGTATAGTCCTTTGCCGTGTTAAGCGAGGTCACATCATGTTCCACATGTATATCAAACCTGTTGAATGACTAATTTATCTTGAACCAACCTTTGCATCATTCTCAGTGGAAATTTTCAATTTCCTCGAATTAATTTACAATGGTTGTCACGATGAAGATATCTGTACACAGCCTGAGTCTTCGGTGGAGATTCCACATTCCCATGTCTGGGGACCAGTCTGTTCAATGGAGAGATGTGTGAAAGACCTAAATAATGTTGTTTACATAGAGCAGTTACTAATTTCAGCATAATCAACATAACCGACTCTCATACGGGAACATTACAAGATATCACTGTCTTCACTGTAGCCGACACCACGCCTGCTATTCCCTGCAGAGAGCCGTGTTTGGGAAGCAATCTCCAAAGAGTTTTGTTCGGGGCACGTATCACATCATAGGCTGTCCCATGTTAGGAAGCCACTGGGAGCTATGCACGTTTTAATCTCAATTGAAAACTAATTTCTTTAGAGCTGCTTTTTGCGTGTTAGTTTGTTGTTCTTCCCCCACACCTCCGATGAGCACGGTTGGCTATGTACGGTGCAAATTAAGTTCAACATCCATACATACACTTACATGGACCTTGTCAGTCAGTTGAATCTTAATGCCAGGGTCTGACCTCATGACCTCCTGCTAGCAAGCCTTTGACACTTCACTTGGCCTCAACGTGCACCTAGCCTGACGCAAGCACCAGGGATCACATCACCGTCATTCAGTGGTGAATGGCGGCTGTTGCTGTGCGTTGGGGTGGAGCTGTTGCCCTCTGAGCTAAGAACCAGGTATCCTGAGTTCGATTCCTAGCCACAGCCAACAATCAGTGACAAATTATATATAAACCATCTTGGTCCATGCCTAGGTACATACTCCATGGCAGCTGTGGCAATCAACCTGTACATGAAACGTAAAATGGGGAACACGTGGATTGTACCATTGAACGGGACTGGTTCCGCAACTTAGGGATGTGTAACTTCCACCAGATTCATGGCTGTAAATGGAAGAGTGACAACCCATTTTTGTTTTGGTGCAGAGTTATTCTGGCTTAGCTTTGATACCTAACATTAAAACATTCGTATGGATTAACTACACATCCATTCGTTCTACATTCGCTCGTGTATGTGCGTGTATTACAGGCAGTTGCAATAATCACTTTGTTACACACACTTATACTTAATGGTTTATACAGACTATTCACGTCATGAATAGACATCAGACTCATAAAAACAATTTTTTTTATTTTTGTCTTCAGATAACTGACTAACGGCCATTGCCTGAGTACAGGGATGTTTAAGGTGGACTTAATATGTACATATACGTATGTGCGTATCATTAGCATATGCGTGAAATTACATATTAATACAAGAGCCAGACTTTCAGATTTTGGCAGGACACGGTGTTAGTTGTGGATCTGTGCCACGCTGGATTTTGTAAATTCCTCAGCAGAAGTGTGGGAAAGTCTTCTGTCCACACCGGTGAAATATATATTTTTAAATATATTGCAGCCAATTGACTCATGGAGCCAACAATGAATCAATTCATTGTTTTAAATAGATTCTTACGTTCACGTGTGCAAGATTAAATTATTTACGATGTATGGACATTATTATCTGCTCATGAAACACGAATGTGTGTTGAGCCACACTATGGCCGATGATGTGAAAAGCTGCAAGGTTCGTACATAAATGCACATAGATCAAATTGCTACATTTTGGTATTCGTGCCGTTCATATAGCACGAGGCTATCACGAAGGTGCTATGTTTCACGGACACAGTTTGCAGCAGCTTTGCAGTATGGTGGAAATGTTGCAATGTGTAATCCCCATCGAATATTTTGCGGGCACATTTTCAAATTTTGACGAATTTCCACCGTCACGCTGAAAGATGTCACGGGATCTTTAGTGTCCACTTTGAAGCAGACCCCTGCGTATTTGACAGTTAATTCAGTTTCGGCACTAACCAGGGCAGCCTGCCAATTTGAACCGTAAACCTCTGCAAAAAGTGGGCAGACACGTTACATTACCCCTGGGACACGGTCGACGCGAATGCACCGATCGCTGTCGATCCACAGTTGGCTACGTACGGTGCGAAAGACGTTCAACATAAATACATACACACATTCACAATCTCGTGTCACTCCTTACCCTCCTCCCATCTTTCCGGGCTGCAGACTGCCCCGCAGGCACGTACGGGTTGGGCTGCTCGGGCGTCTGCAACTGCCTGTCGGGCCGCTGCGAGCCAGAGAGCGGCAAGTGCCACCGTCTGCCGTTCGTGCAGAACGCCGCCCGCCCGCCGCCCAAGAAGCGTCTGGCCGCCTCGCACACGAGCTGTGAGTTTTTTCCCGCGAGCGACCGTGTGCTGCTGCACGTCTCGAGCCGCTCAGGAGAAGCGGCGGCAGTCCATTCGGGGCGCGCTAGGAAACAAGTTAATTTTGTATGCGTCCGTCGTAGGGACTGTAAACCAATCAAACATTATATACAACAAACTTACGTGAATGTGGCGCACAGAAAAATAATGTAAAAACCTACCGTATTGTGACTCGAAAATGAGGGAATGTAATATTGTCATTAAAAATTTTAATGATAAATAAATACAGCGAATTTACAAACAGGATCAGCAACATCTGAAAGCAAGGTAAACATAAAATAAATTAATTCATAGCAAACATATGCTGGATACGCTATGTAACTTTAATACATTCCACTTGTGTGAAATAATTAAGTTGGTAGACTAGTGGCATTTTAAATTATATTGATAGTGTTGTTGAAATTATGAGCTTATTTTAATAGGAGGATTGGAATTTGAAATTATATTTGCTAGACTTCCAAAAATAGGACCTCTATTTTTTTCATAGGTTGCTTGGGGGCCCTACATTTTTTTGCCAAGTTTGATTTTGCGAGTAAATACATCTCATGCAGTTCACAAGTAAACATTGGTTAACTGTGTCCCATTTGTATCCCACGGAATGTTTTAACAGTTTGTCGGTGATTTAAAATGAGGGCTGTCCAAATGATAGCCCATGTTCCAAACACTGCCAATAACCTCATCTCATCTGACCCTCGGCTTAACTCAAACACCTCATTGTCCCGCTTGTGGCTCTCACATGCCACTTCCGTACCGTTCACCAATATCACGTTGCAGTGGTGTGCATCACCACATCCAGCCAGGGAGACATAAAATATACATCTTATTTACCAAGGCAATTTAGTTTGCTCAATGAATTTAGTTTTGTTTCTGCTTTATTACATTGGAACATGTGCAACCTTTGTCAACCCAATACTATATGATGGTCTCCTTGCACTGTTTGGTTTATCTGACCATACTTCACCACGCTGGTCAGCACAGGTTGGTGAAGGCAGGTAGCATAGACATGAGAATATAGAAGTACAGTACAACTGTGAATATTTATACACTGCTTTCTGCTGCCCACAGCAGAGTCCCACATCCTATAACACCTGTTTTACGCACTGTCGACCATCCACGCACTATCCCGACTCACAAATGAGTAGTAATTGTTGAAAATATATTGTATGAACTCTAATTCCAAGCGCATATCCATGCTAATGAAGTATCGGAGATGTACAATTTCAGTATAGTAGTTGTACTTGCCCATATCTACAGATGAAAAGCCTCTGTGGAGTCATATACATGCACGAGTGCACGTATCTCTTTAGTTGTAGAACAATGACTAGAGATTAAATCGTCAGGTTGCATGTGGTGGAGTAAAGTGTGTTTACTTCCACCGCTTCTGAAAGGTCTGGCCAGCCAGGAACTGTAGGGCAAATACCCTCAAGGGAGGCCCTTCCACCAGTTAAAAAACTAAAACTAAACTTTTTTTAATTTTACCAGGTAAACCCCACTGAGCTATAGCGCTCTTTTTCAGAAGCGACCTGATCATAAATGATAGCTCAACAAAGTGGCTTATCACGTGGAAGTTTATAGCAGCCAAATACTCTAAACGCATGTTTCTAAATGTGGAGCGAAAAGCCGGAGGATCTGGACAAATATCCACACGACCACAGAGAGAACATTCAAACTCCAAATATACAGGCGTTAGGGTCGGGTCCGAATCCATGACCTTCTGTATACCATGCGAGGTAGTTAACATCTCACCACCATGCACCTTTATCTTTTACCAAATTGGAAATAAGTAACATGATGTGCATGTTTAGAACACTCACCACTACTCCGTCAATGATAGCTGCGTGGAAACGTTGTGCTGGGGAGTACGTTTGTATATATGTTGAACTTCTTTCACATCGTACATAGCCAACTGCGCTAATGCGAGGTGTGGAGTGACAGCTGTTTAACATGTGTGTCTGGTTTTTTGTTATAATTTACAGATCGCTGGCACAGAACTGGATAAGAGAGAGAGAAGACTTCCCCCATATGAAGCAGAGACAGCAGGATCAGTCTTTGGGTCTTTGGGGGAACATCTTTTGAGCATATGTATTAAGTATAGTATTCAATAAATTAAAGTGCCCTTTATTGTAGTGAAGCAGAAAAATGTATTTCTTGCAAATAAGAATACAATTTTACCTTTAAGATATTTATAGCAGGCAGCCGGTTTTAAAATCAATTTTGCAAAGATCAACAGTCGTGGGAAGTTAACCATTGACCCTGTTTAAACTGGAATTCTGCAACCTATACCAAAGCATCATGGCACCATTTATAATTTCTGTAGAATGGATGCAGTTTGGACATGGGCGTGTTTGTGATGACTATAGAAGCCCAAAGCCAGTTGATACTTCCACTTTGCCCGATGTTGGGTGTGTTGAGAGGATGATTTTGGATGACAGGCAAGTGGGAATTCTGCACACGATCAGCAGCTATAGGGTTTGAGTGTGGAAACAGCTAATTCGGTTCATAATGACAAGTTTAATTTCCAAAAAAGTGTTTACCCATTGTGTGACAGAAATGTTATTGGAAAACAACAAAATGAATCACATTTGTCTTGCATTGTCGGCCAGATTTCCAAGTGAATACATTTCTCTCAGTGTAGCAGGTCCACTCTTTGATAAACATTGTCTTGATCCATATAGTTGTCATCATATTGCAGCCTTATTCTTGATAAATGGCATTTGTCTTCGAGACTCTCGGAGGACCAAAAACGAAAAACAGCTCGTGACTCTTCCAATGTTCGGTGACAAAATATGGGAACAAAACAATTACAGGCAGTCCCCAGGTGTTGCAAAACGGTTAGGTTCCTCAGAAACGATCCATAACCCGAATTTTCCATATGTCGGAAATAGTTGTGCCTCCCCTACTCGATTGCTAGTTCGTTTTCTCTCAGTACTGTAAAATAATTACGTAACGCTACGAAAAAAAATCTGTTTACCTTTAACCTAATTAAGCTCGGGCTTGGTGAAGGCGGCGTTTTTGTGGTGTGAGGTGTGAGGTGTTTTGCCTTACGCCTCGCTCTGCGGTATTCAACCGCGACCTAACCGTGCTGCACTATCCGCGCGTTCGTAACTAACGCAAAAAAAATCAGCTTTTTTTTTTTACACAATTTACGGGGATATTTCCTGAAAGTCGGATTTCCATAAGTTGGGGCCTTCTGCAACCCGGGGACTGCCTGTATATGTTATATTGTACACAGTCAAGTGCCATTCACTACACAATGCTAAAATAGTTCTGATATATGTCAGAGAAATATTAATAGTCTCCTTACTGAAACACTTTATTTTAGGTCATCACAAGCTCATAAATCTAACACGACTCGGTGAACTTCCTACCAACCTCTCCAAGACTGTTCATCGATTGTGTGGTTTCAGCCTCATAGTTTAGTGACACGGGAATTCAGCTATTAGGATAACAACATATGTGCTTCATATGTGGGCACCCATGCAGAAATTAAGATTTATTTTTGTACAAATGTTTCTTTAAAAATATATATTTAATATGTTATTATTATTATCATTGTAAGAACAGGGCTTTTCGTTTCATTGTATTGCAAAAATGTAAGTCAAAAGCAGACACAGTGCCCTTGAATGGATGTAATAACATTCACCTGTTGACCGATTCTCGTGCTGAAGAGTGTTTTACCCACATCATTCGACAAACACAATCGGCGTATACTCCGGGGCTATGAGACGCACCCCGGATAGCCTGAACAGACTCCCATAATAAAGGGGTTTTTTTGGGGGGAGGGGGGGGCACAAGTGCTGTTAGCGAGCACCTATGAAGGCCGGCACGGCACATGAGGGGGTAGGTGGCTAGCACCACACTCGTCCGCCTTTCTATACGAATCTGGTCACATGCACGGACCCCGAGCGGATTATGAGACGCACCCCAAAATATTGCTTTTAAATACAGGGGGACAGAGCACCCTTTCTCCTCCAGACAATACGGTAACAGCACAGTTCACATACTCAACAAACCGTATATAGAGTTTTCTCTTTTCTGTGATTGATTCGATATTTTTTACAGAAATAATATATTTTGTTAGCTAAGTTAAATTTAAATGATAAGATTTATTTAAACGGACAAGATTCCTTTATTCGTGTATTGCGTGTGGCAAAATGCGTGATATGTGCTACGTGTACGTTTTATATTTCTATTTGGTTTCTTAATGGGTGCGTTAAGAAATGTTTGATTTATATTAACATCGATAATATGGTTATACTGTTTACAGTGTTAAACCGGTTTTTTGTGTTTACAATGCATTAGTTATAAACGTTTTGCATAGACATTAATACATTTATGGATAATTTCTCTTTGTTTTCATCTTGCTTCTTTGTATATGGATATTATTGTAAATTAAATATAATTTATCATGTGTCAAGCATTGTTTTTGGTCGTTGTTTTGGGATAGCGTTTTGCAAAAAAACTTCCCATCTTAATTGTGATGATGATAATGGTGATGAATGAATGCATAGAGCTGTGGAGCAGTGGTTGTTGAGTTGCGCTGTGAACCCAGTTCAATTCCTTGCTACAGCAAATATTCGTGGCGATATCTGGACCACTCTTGCCCCCAACTCGCACTAGCAATTCCCACAACTGATATGGCTTGGGATGGCCACGGTGGCTAGATGTTAACTGTCTCGCCTGGTATACAGGAAGTCGTGGTTTCTATCCCGAGGCTGATGCCTGTATATTTGGAGTGTGCATATTCTCCCCGTGGTCACGTGAATTTTTCTCCGGGTCATCTGGTCCCCCCCCCCAAACATTTAGAAGCATGCGTTTAGAGTATTTGGCTGCTATAATGTACGCTTGAAAAGCCACTTCGTTGAGCTATCATTTGTGGCCAGGTCGCCTCTGATGAAAGAGCAATATAGCTCAGTGGGCCTCAACTGGTAAAATAAAATAAAAAAGTGTGTCCAGCAGTGGCTTTGATAACAGACGTGACATCACATTACCCGTTTTGCACCACCTTTCAGAAATGTGGCCTTGCCCTCCTGACCAGAATGAAACCGTTCCACAAGTTTGCAGGCAGATCATGCTTCACATGTTCAAACATACGTTACACGTGCAGTAGCAACAGTGCGGGATACACCACACCTAAGTGTACATGCATGTGCTACGTATAGGAATTCATACGGGGGGGGGGGGGGCAATTACAAAGTCCATAGACGTAAAGGAAGCAACGAGTCGCGTTGAGTAATAGTTATTTTGCTACAAAGCCCCTTGAAGTGCAATGCACTAAATCTTTCGATATTCTCGTCGGTAAAATCGCTGCCTTGAAGAACGCATAGTTTTGTTTCACAAACTACTCAATATTAACCAGAATCAGAATATGTATGCTGGAGGAATCCCACCAGCTATTATCCTCTTTTTCACATATGTCCAATAATGATAATGTCACTGGGATCGTCACCTGAGTTCGAATCTAACTCGGGGGTCAAAGCCCTCTTGCAAAAATGTTGGCGCAAGACAACTGCAGCTGTGTGGGCAGTCAACATTGGGTTCTCTCCATGGATGAATGGGCCCTTGTTTATAGTGGAATTTCTACCCCTGGCTCAGAGCTACCAGGGGAAATGAGCACCACCTAATGTTCATGAAAGTTCGGAGTTATTTAGACTTTTTTTTAACAAATGGAGGTAATTCGGTGGTAAAGCAATCAGAGAAAATGGTAATAGATTAAGAGATAAGCGAATTTGTCACAAAGTAACCTCACATTGCCGTGACCTAGCTTTCACATTTTCTCACTTTCTAAAAAAACACGGTGAGAAAATCCAAAAAGGAATGACGGTAAACTGTGGAAGTTACTTAAAATGATGCAATCTTCTGGCCAGGGGAAACAGAAAAGTTATTTAGAAATAAAATTCAGAAATGCAAAGGTTTTAGGATTGCCACCAGGTGGTATGTTGTTATAAGTGGCGTGAACTTCATTTGTGTGTGTTTTTAACATGAATTAGTGTGATCTGGGATTCGAGTCAAGGTTTCAGCCGCCTGTGATTAAACCAGGTTCTCGAGGGTAGAGAGTTGATGGTCTCAGGACAGTCACCAATGATGACACGAACATTTTCACCACATTAAATTTGTATTTAATTTGAATATTTTCCAGCTCTGAGCATGAAATATATGTTTGCCATGTGAAAAACAGAACTCTCAATGGCAGGAAGGGTGGGGAAATTTCTGCCCCTTACTGTATCAGAGGTGACTGGAATGGATCTCAGTGGTAGCTCCGTGATATCCACTACTGTGGGCCGTTCTTTGACACGAAGGGCTACATTGCAAGAGCTCCAAATGACTCATAACACGACGCTGGCAACACAATTGAGACAAAGCTGGGGAATACTTATTTATTTACTCATGTATAACGTTAAATATAAGATTAATTCCCAGGAAGGCCTTGAACCTGAAACTTTTTGAAATTCCAAGTGTGGGCAACTATTCATGTACAGAGGTCGTGAGCAATATCATCTTCTTTTAAGCATACTTAAAAGTGCACAGTTGAGTATATGGCATCCGTGAATACAGTTTACATGACTGTACTCGTATTAATATGGTGCAGTTTATGTCATATACAGGGCCAATGAAATGCTTTTGGGAGACGGAAGGAAAATGCCAGAGGAGGCCTCTAAGGCCTGGAGCCTTCACCCCACGCCTCCCTCATTATTTAGCAACGGAAACGTGACTTTCAGTTCAGCAATGAACTACTGCGTAGTCGTGGTACACGCTTGAGCAAATGGTATAAGATTCGGCCTCTGATGGTCAGCTTGCAATTTGATGTTAGTCTGATCGGATCGGATGTGATTGGATCCAGTCAGACCCAAAAAAAGGCACCTGAAGCTTCACGCTAATTGCGTTTTTCAAAACGAGTGCAGCCGTGAATGTGGGGGAGCGGTTGGAACAATGGTGAGACACCAAGTGAGACAGAGTGAGCAATGTTTTACCCACACCTCCCAACCTAAAGCTAACAATCATTAAAACATCGACAACAACAACAACAAAAACATACTCGCAGACGAACCTACGCGGTGAGTTAGAGCATTTACACAGCCAGCATTATGGCAGGCTAAATCGTCGTCAGGTCTACATCCGGAGGAGTTCAAGGGTCAGTGTCTGCACGGAGCTTGTGACGATCGGACAATTTGGCAACAAACGGTCATGAGCGACAGGGTCACGGGTTGGAGAGAGGTGATGCCATCATGCAGGTACAACAAAGGAAATTGTGATACCAACATATCAACGAGCAGCATATGTTGATATTTAAATAAAAAAAATATTTTCTGAGAACGTCCCAAAGGCCCAAAATGCCAAGCGATTATCAACAAACAGCATTCTTAAATCTAGATTTGAAGCTTTCGTGACTGCTGGAATCCATACTCGTTGGTTCTTTCGGTAAGTCACGTAGGTATAAAATAAAATATTTAAAAGAGTAAGCATTCTTAAAGTCACAAGAGTTAAATGTTACACATTCCCCGCTATAACCTTATATGGTTAGTGACTTAGCTCAGCAGTAGCGCGTTCACTGCTCGTTGCAATGATTCACGGTTCTAATCCAGCGGGCATCCTGGTTAATACCACTGTGTGGTTAATACCAGTGTGTATTGTAATGGTGTATGGTAATGGTATTAACCATTACAGTGGTTAATACCATTATATTAACCATTGCAATGGTGATATTAACCATTGCAATGGTGATATTCCATCGGAAATAACATAGCAATCATAGGCCCCTTACTGCGACAAAATATGACAGGGCTCTCTTGAAAAAGAGTGATGAGACTCGGGGGGGAGGCATTCCTGTATAAACAAGCACAGTAATAATCATAATAACTTTGGAAAATAGATTATGGGAGTTCCAGAGTGAAGCGGTGAGTGGAAAGCATCTTGTGTGCACAAAGGGTGCTCTCTTTCTGAGCTCAACTTGGTTTACATACTTCGAGGCAATTATTTTTCTAAAGCATTTCCTTGCATGTTCGCTCGACTGATGTAATGCCATTTGCTTTAGGCACCATGAATTATGGTGATGTTGGATGAAACGAGAAGTGCGGACCTAACATCTAAAGCAGCGCATTCCTGAAACGTGGTTTTGAGGACTGAGCAAGGCTTTACTGGGAAATGAAAGGGTATAACTCAAAATGTACGTTTAATATGAACTCCTTTTGAATTTTAAATATTTTTGCAGGAAAGTATTTTATCTAAGAATATATATTTGGTGTATAATTTTATTTTTTTAAAGTATGGCCAGAACAATGCTCCGATTCTTGACTCAAACGATACGTGCAACAGATCACTCACCCGATAATTGATTGTTTTCCATCACCCAGGCTCGACGCAACAATGGGCAATATCGCAGATGTGAGGTAAGAGGCAGGAATCGTACAAGAGGGAGTGGATAGGTTTGCTTACTGACACAGATATGTTTATACGGTACGGTACATTTATGCGGAGGCAATGATAAGGGAAGCTGGGATAAACATTGATGAAGGAATGAAAGTAGGTGGCCAGCTACTTAAATCAGTTGGGGTTGCTGATGAAAAATATATTTTGGCCGATTCTAAGTAGGGGCTATAGAAGCTTGTTGATGTTTCGAGTTTGGTAGGTTAACAGATCGAAATGAGAATAAATCTGGTGAAAACCAAAGTTACAAAATATTACGGAAGAGTGGACACAAATTGAGCATGACTGTTAAAGGAAACCAGCTGGAACGGGTCAACGGGTTAAATATTGTAGGAAACATGACAACAGGAGATGGCAAAAGCTGAAGTGAAATTAGAACCAGGGATTGCCTTTGGCCAATCACTGTTCAATCAGAACAAAGTGCTCCTTGTCCCAAATATTGAGAGAGACCAGAGGAAGATGAGTGTCAAAAGTCTGGTGTGAAGTGTGATGGTGGTAGTGTGGTTGTTGCTAAAAAGAATATGGATATTGATAAAGGAAAGAGATCATTAGAAGATTGGAGAGTTTAGAAACGTGGGTTTGGCATTGAATTAGAAATCAACTGGTTCGGCAGGGATTGGATGTGATCACGTTGGCAGCTACAACTGGATAGGGCACATTGTCAGAGAGGAAGTATGTACATCTATGTATGTATGTTGAACTTCTTTCACACCGTACGTAGCCAACCGTGCTCATCGGAGGTACGCGGAATGACAACTAATACAGACACACAAAAACTGTTCTAAAGAAATGAGCAGTTCAAGGCTTGCCGAAGGAAGCTGTAGAGAGGGGAGGATTCTGAGAAAGAGACCGAGAGACAGAAAATTAAGCAGCGACTAAATTATTTGGGAAGAGAGAGAGGAATATTGGAAATGAAAAGAGGGAGCACAAGGTTATGCTGGGTGGAGAAGGCGTGGGCCAAGAACCGGCCTTTGGGCAGAGAATGAAGATGTA